TTTCCCAACGATTTGATGCTCTGGGAATTCTATTGTTTGCTAATGATCATAACATCAAATTCTTTCGCACCATGCACAGTCTCATCTCGCCAAGCCAAGCGAAAAAGTTGACACGCTGGAAGTAATAGTAAAAGTCCATGAAAATATTCATCGCGTAATATTTGGAAAACGCTCTCATACATTTTTTYCCCACGACCGACACTAAAAACGGATGCGAGGGAGACTACMTGTTGGGTGCCTTGATGAATAATATCGACTGGTGCAAGACGCTTTGAAAGTTTAGGTCTAGTTTTCGAGAAAATAAGCGGTAAACGATTTCTATGATGTCACCGTTACGTCATAACGAAAAGCCCGCWTTAAACTAATTCATCATTTTTGAAACCTTTAATCCTTTCTTGACATTGTGTGAAAAGCGCTTGCAGATCGAGTTCTTCAAGACGAAGTTGTAGCCGTTTGAAAGCGGCAAGGTGTGCCAGACCAAAACTACCCACAGCCTCCTTAATTTTGGTTTTTGTTTGATTTTGTTTTCTTTGGGACAAATTGTTGCCCACAAGTTAACAATAGGAGATGTATGCTTAAACTCTGACTGTGGTTTGACTGGGATCTCCTTTTTAACTTACCAACTTCCAAGCATTTTTAGCTTTCTAGTTATTTTTGGAAGCTGGTACTCCTCAATCTGTTTAAACATAAAATAATGTAAATTAGAACAAAAAATGTAATAATGGGTACGAAGCGTAGAAAGAAGTTATTGTGAGGGGTCTGAATATGCAAATGTGTCACTCGCTCGCTCACTCGCTCACTAAGATGTTAGCAGATGGATAATCCACCCGGAGTCAAGTATAATTGGAAGAAGATCTATTTTAAAATACTTACGTTAATTTAATAATGCGTTATTATGATAATACGTCGTTTTAAGTCTTCTTTCATTATTATTTCTTTCGTTTTTTTAGTATTGCCATCACGATAGGTTGTGTGATTTTTGGCATCGTCGTTTATGTAATAATGGTCAAAATTATCTTCCCGAATGATTATCCAAGAATACACACATCCGGAGGACCATATTCCAATGGTGCAGTAGCAACAGATTCAGAAGACTGCTCTAAAGTTGGGGCGAATATACTTATAGATGGAGGTTCGGCCGTTGACGCTGCTATCGCTTCAATGTTGTGTGTTGGGGTGATCAATATGCATTCCACTGGCATAGCAGGAAGTGGATTTATGCTCGTCTATAAACGAAACACCAGGGAAACACGAATGATCAACTTTAGAGAAAAAGCGCCAGGTGCCTCAACCAGAAATATGTTTAAAAATAATGCGGACCATTCCAAGTTTGGTGAGTACACAGCTTTTTACCAAAAATGTAAATTTTCTCGCTTTCTGCTTGGTCGAGAGCAGTGGTATACAGCTTGTATAAGAGGACATACAAAGGAGGATGTTTCACTAGCATTCCTTGCGCGCCGTACTCATTATTCATCTGTCTTCAGCGTTTGTTTGAAAAATTTTCTCTCGACGACGATTTTCCTCGATTATTTCGCCAAACAAAAACAGCAGCCGTTTGCTTATTAAATATTTTCTGCATCCATACTGACAAACAATAGAAAGTCTGGACATTTCTCTGGGACCTAGTTCGGTAATTTTGTAATTTTTGCCACAGGAAAAATCAAAATATGCCGTATCAATGAATGGATAGAAAAAGATAAAAAATTTTTTGACAAGCGAAGTGTTTGTAGGCTTTGAATTATGTGGGAATAAGTTTAATAAAATTTAAAAAAGGACACACCTACACAAAGTATAGCCTTCATACTATGCTATATCCCTTAAGTCTCCTTAAGTCTCCACGCTTGCAGAGTGAGATATGGCCATTACAATTTCAACTAAAATTCGYCATGTGTTTCACTTCATCTTGTCTTACGTGATTGATTTGACGTGACCTGCTAGATTACCAAAAACTGTAGTTTTGAGTATCTTATACAATTCTGATAATCTTGATTTTGAAATTCAAAAAAGTCAATCGAAGGTAGTTTTATTAAAGAGGAAAAAGAGTTAAGCTTTAAGCTTACTTTTATTCACAATACGTGTCACAAGCCCGATAAACAATTCAAGAATTTCCTTAATCTAACAAACTATAAACGAATAAATAGTCAAACCACTAGGAACTAATTTTATTCAACTCAAGAAAGCCAAACCTATAGTATTCCATAGTGCAGATAGTGTAATTTTCTTTAAAAACTCAAATTTAGAAAAAGCTTAAAAGTTCAAATGCAAAGGCAAGACATTCGAAGAAAATACTCAATCGAAGAAAGTAGATTGTATATTTTTCTCAAGGGTAGATAAACAACAACAAACTTAATACATGGCTTTTGTATATTACCTCGAACAACAGCTGATAGATAAAGCTTTATTCACTAGCGATTTTCTTCCGGAAAATCGAGACTGTCATTGTTCAAAACGATGCAAATCTTCTTTCTTCAATGTGAAAATACCTGGGAAGATGGTTGATAACTGTCACAAATTTAAAACACGTAATACCAGCAAATTCAGTCTAATTGATCCTTTTTGTGGATAATACAGTAGAGAAAGAAAAGATCTGAAGTAGAAAAGGGCTCACGATTTTCCTCTATAATCTTCAAAGTCGAGTCCATAGTCGATGTTTCTGCATTGCGATCAAAGCAAAAATGAGTAGATCACGTGACTTTTCAGCGTGATAATACAGTTGGTCGAGGCGCGCATAGCATGCTAGGTAAACATCCTCCTTTAGGACATACCAACGAATTACGGCAACATATCAGGAAGTACATATACTCGGAACGCACGCTCGGAACCGTTACCTTTTAAAAGATGAAATAGAATTGGAACAATTCACTCGGATCATTGTAAGTGGATCTATCTTTCCTTCTTTGCATTTTTCTAATTCTTTTTTGCCGTTTTATCTTTTGCCGTTTTTGCAGCCTTAGTAGGGAATCTTAGATTGACTTTTTTTCTTCTTCATGACCACGTTTTCATCGTATTCCTGTATTTTACTTTACCTCTTACAAACTTTTATATCACAATGATTTGTAGAACCAAAAGATAAAAAAATATATATATATATAAAAGAATCCCCCCTCACCAAAAAAAAACAGAACCCAAAAAAGCGAAATTAAACCAAATGGAGATAGATGAGTGGACCTTGGATTTTATGGGGGCTCCCCCCTGGTTAGGACTCTGATGTTCACCCATATTTGTTCTGCATAGGGGGACGAGCCATTGCTGTGCCTGGTGAAGTGATGGGCTACTATGATGCTTGGCAGCAATATGGAAAATTACGATGGTACAGACTCGTTCAACCAGCAATTGATATCGCTAGAAACGGATTTACGATTGGGATACCAGTTTATGAAGCTGCACATAAACAAGAGGATAAATTGAAAGAAGACCCTGGCCTAAAGTACGTTTGAAATATTATTTTCGAAGAAAAATATCTCAATTAACAATTATGAAACCCTGAAACAACCTCTGGGCTGATCTAAGTCAGGGCATGGCTAACTCACAGATTAAACCCTGAAACAACCTCTGGGCTGATCTAAGTCAGGGCATGGCTAACTCGCAGATACAACCCTGAAACAACCTCTGGGCTGATCTAAGTCAGGGCAAAGCTAACTCACAGATCAAACCCTAAAACAACCTCTGGGCTGATCTAAGCCAAGGCACTGCTAACTCACAACATAAAGTTTGAATTTAGCTTGTTTGGTTCTGATTCCATGTCTATTCCATGAGACCCTCGAGGGGAGAAGCGAGTCTCCCTCTAATATCACTGAAATGTTCTGTGCTTTGAATGGAACATTTTCTCTGACAGAGAGCTGTTATTTGACAAGGAAGGAAGGTTGCTTCGAGAAGGAACTACAATTACAAATGAAAAGTACGCAAAGACMCTTGAACAGATACGTGACAATCCACATAGTCTTTATAATGGACCCCTGGCTAGGGACATCATTGATGATATGAAAGATGTGGAGCCAAAGGGCTTGCTCCAAATGGAAGATCTTAGAAACTACTCGACTGAGATTGTAAATGGATTCTCCCGTAGACTTGACAATGGCCATGTTTTACACACAACTCCACCACCCACAAGTGGACCATTGATAAACCTTATTTTAAACATCTTGAAAGGTCAGTGCTTGGTTATATATTTGCCTAAAAACTCTCTTGAATAACTAAAGAGTAGAGTCTTCTTTTGGAAAGATATTTTTGTTATGAAAGGCATTTGAAAATTATCTCCGATAAATTGTATACCTTCGATTCATCATATTCACATGCTAAAGTCGCGCTTTATAAATATTAAATAATATACATATTTAGGCACTGCCTAAAAGCGGAGCTCCCGATACGGAAGTCACAGGGAGAACAATTTGAATGAAACTGAAAGGTAAAAATAAGATCGGGGAAAAAATCTTCAACTATTTTTTATTCGAGATGAAGATAATTTCTCCCATAATAAAAACCATGCAGTGAAAGCGAAATGCACCACATTGTTTTTTCTTTTTTTTTTCCGCGAGTATGCTCTCCCACTTTGGAATTTTGTACACAACTCACCACCACCCCCAGGGGCTAGTTTTGTTCTTGGAAGATTCTTCGACAACACAAATTTAAGCTCATTCTTATAATCATACTTGCTCGAACAGCTTAATAAACGGTTGAATATTTGGTGTAAATTTATATTTCATTCAATAATTAAATAAATTATCTGTAGAAAGATATAAAATTATTGAATGAAAGTCTTCTTTGTTTTGCCGATGGGACCCCGCGATAGGAGGCGAACAAAGCTGCATTTTTATTGAACGAAAAACATACGATAGTTGGTTAAAAACAACCGAATTGTTAAAGATTTACGAAGCTAAATAAAGGAGGAATATTTGTTGTAATATGCTCTTCATGTTATATTTACTCCAGCATTAAAATAAATTAAGCTTATCGAAAGAAATATAAAAAGTTTTGAGAGAAAGTCTTTGATTTCTCGATTCGTCGAGAAAAATGCTGGTCAAAAAAAAAATATATATACGATTCATTGCTTGCTAAAAAACACACACCTGTATTCTTGAAGAACACTTCTTGATCCATCTTTGACCACATGAAAGTTTTTTTAAATTGTTTTTGGTCTATAACTTGTCCTAAAGCGAATTTTTCGGTGTATTTGAGAGTAGCATTTGCGAGTAGTTTTGCTTTGATATCCAGCGGGATTCCTGTGTTGTGTACACCGACGAACGGACGGAAGTGACGTCAGTCAAGCCATGAAAAATCAGCTCGATGGTTTACCATTCTTTCTTAAGTATGGTGCTCCSCGCGGGAGCTCCGCTATTATTATATCACACGGTGGCGGAAGATATGAAGCTTAGAGAGGAGTGAAGATAAACTTCATTTCAAGCCAACGTGTGGTTTTCTTTTTAATATTATGAGTCCTTCGCATGCTCCTTTTCTTGAAATTCATCGATTTATTGATTGATTTATTTTCTTTTTCTTATTTCCATCAGGTTACAAAATGACAGCAAAAGATATTTCCAACGTCAACGACAACGCTTCGTCCCTTGCATACCATCGAATAGCAGAAGCCTTCAAGTTTGCATCTGCCTATCGAAGTTTACTGGGAGACCCGGACTTTGTCAACGTCTCAGAGGTACGTAACTTAAGCTATATTTTGTGGTTCAGTCTCGTTGCGATGACGGCTGAGACTAGAATGGTGAGCACACCTTCGTTTAAGCGCGAGAAATTCCCGCCAAATTCACAGGGGCTCTATGAATATAAGCGAAAGAAATAGCGGAATTCCTCAATACTTTAGCATTTTCCTTTAAAATATAAAATAAAGAACCCTCCTTGCTTGTGCTAGGAATTGTATCTGAGCTTTCCCACACTACATTTTAAACTCGAGAAAGCTTTATCAATATAAGCGAAAGAAATAGTGGAATTCCTCAACATTTTCGCATTTTCTATCTTTTAAAATATAAAATAAAGAACTCTCCTTGCTTGTGCTAGGAATTGTATCTTTCTCACACTCATTTTACAGCTTATTTTCCTTTTGTTACATGTTTAGRTCGTGAGAGACCTACTCGACCCCAAAACGGGCGACTTTTTACGGCAGAAAATATGGGATAATACGACACACAATGTCTCTTACTACGCCGAGTATTTCACTAAAGTTGATTACGGAACCTCTCACTTGGTGGTTTTGGCACCTAATGGTGATGCTGTGTCTTTGACCTCAAGCATCAATTACAGGTAAATAGCAATGTAGCCTTTGTAGTCAACCATCTTACCGGGAATGAAATACATTGAGTCCTTTTAATCAGGAAAATTTCGTATCAACCTTGCTTTAATTTACAGACGAAAGGACACCCGCTTAAAACAGTCACATTTCTAATACGGACACTTGTTTGTCTCAGTGATATGCATACACTCTTACATGAACCTGCTTGATACGGACACCCTGTYATTACAGACACTTGTTCTTGTCCCAGTGATATGCATCTACTCTTACATGAACCTGCTTAATACGGGCACCCTATTTTTACGGTCACTTGTTTTTGTCCCAGTGATATGCATACACTCTTACATGAACCTGCTTGATACGGACACCCTGTCATTACAGACACTTGTTCTTGTCCCAGTGATATGCATCTACCCTTACATGAACCTGCTTAATACGGGCACCCTATTTTTACGG